AAATATTATTTTTTTCTCACCTAGTATGACACTTTGCAATGGTAGATTCTTTATTTCTCTATGAAAAATAGCGTTTTCCTAATTTAGCATAGAAGTGACAAAGAAATTTCCTGTATTTCTAAAAAGGTGTGTGTGCGTGTCTGTCTGTGTAGTCTGTGTGTGTGTGTGTGTGTGTGTGTGTGTATGTCTGTTGATGGGTGCATTTGTGTATCTGTGTATATGTGGTCCGTGTATATGTCTTGGTATGTGTCTGTGTGCGTATGTCTCTGTCAGTGTATATGTCTATGTGTGTCTTTATGTGTGTGGTGTATTTGCCTGTGTATGTGGTCTATATGTGGGTCTGTGTGTGTTAGTGTGCCTGTGTCCGGGTATCTGTATGCGTGTCTGTATGGAGTGTATCTGTATGAGTGTGGGGTATATCTGAGTGTGTCTGTATTGTGTGCTTGTCTGTGTGTGTTCATGTGTGTGTGTGTGTGTTGAGTGTGTCTGTGAGTATTTGTGTATGTGTCAGCATGATGTGTGTGTGAGAGTGTGTGGCTGTGTGTGGTGTATGTTTGCATCTATGTATGTTAGTGTCTGTGTGTCTGTCTGTGGGGGGTTGTCTGGGTACATGTGTGTTTATCTGTTTGTCTGTGTGTTTGTGTCTCTGTGTGTGTCCATGTATGTCAATGTATCTGTTTGTGTGTGTGTGTGTGCACACACATGCACATGTGCATGCCTGTGTTTTTATATTGTCAGGTTTGGGCTCCTGGCTCATGGCTTCTCCCTCTGGAACTTTCCTGGTGGAATTCTTTTTATACATCTCTTCGTCTTTCAGGAGCTTTAGTGGGTGAAATTTTCCTTGACTGAAAAAGCCTTGATTTTGTGCATAAACTGGAGGGTTTTTCTCGAAGCCTTTGAGGGGGGCAGGCAGGCCCGCGTTGGCTGTTTGGGTGATAATTGGGACTTGTCCACAATGACTTCCGTGTCATTTCCTGGCTCATTTTGGTCATGTCAGAGCTGTTAGATGATGGGTCACTAGTGTGTCATTGACTTCTGGGGCTTGCATTTGCTCACTCTAATAATAGCAGCAATAATACCAGTGTTCATTGAGTGTCCCACACAGGGCTCAGGTCTAAGGTCTTTGCCTGTAGAAACTCGTGACATGTACAGTGGGCACTGGATGCATTGTAAATTAGCCTCTTGGTTTTACAGACCGCGGCATCGAGCTTTCCTGAGGTGAATTTGCCCGTGTTCCAGTCAGATGGAAGAGGCCCTCAGTGTGAGAGCTTTAAAATAGGCGGGGCATCTGCCTGCTAGGAAACTGTGTTATGTCAATTACTCCATTTAGAAACGGCAACTATGATAATGAAAGCAGACCAGCTTTAGGGGTGTGTGTGTGTGTGTGTGTGTGTGTGTGTGTGTGTGTGTGTAGAGGCCAGAGGAGGATATTAAATGTCTTCTCCATCTCTCTTGACTTCACTTTTTGGAATCACTTACTGAATCTGAATCTCCCTGTCTCAGCCAGGCTGGCTGTCCATTAAGTTCTGCCTGTCTCTGCCCCTCGGGACTGGAGTTTGGCACACATAGCTATCCGAATTTTTTTTTTTTAATGTGGGTGCTAAGGATTTGAACTCAGGTCCTCTAGTCTTCACAAGCAAGCACTCTGATCTACTGAGTCATTGTCTCAGCCTCTCTTGTCATTAAAAATAACTCTGGGGCTGGGGTTGAGAGCACCCGTTGCTCTTGCAGAGGACTCAAGTTAGAGTACCAGCACCTCCGTGGTGGTTCACAGCCATTCATAGCCCCAGTTCTAGGGATCCAACAGCCATGCATGTGGTACACATGCATGCATGCTAGCAAAAACATTCATATGCAGTAAAGTAAAATAAATCTAAAAAAAATTCTAAGGTGCCAAATTATACCACCTCTGTATAATCTTATATAATACCTTCCACTTCCCCAGAGTTCAGCGAGCCTGGGCTACCTCATCAGCTCAGTGTCTCTCAAACATCAGCACAATCTATGATGGGCACAGTCAGGTAGGGAAGGGGACCCTCTGTGATTCCTGCCTAGGCTCCCCCTCATACAAAGCAGAACATGATGCCTGCCCTTGAGGCCCAGGGGAGAGCACTGCCCAGTGGCTTTTTGGTTTGATCTGTGATGGTGCCCAGGATTGGCAATGACTATGCCACCACTTGACAGAGTGGCTTCCTCTGCCCCAGCATTCCAGCCCTTCCTCTTAGAACAGAGAGAGCCAGGGAGGAAAGAAAGATGGTGGGCATGTGGTCCTGAGCAGAGCTGGCAGGGGAGAAGGGGAAAGGAGAGGGTAAAGCCCCACTTTATCAGTGTGTCAGGACACACACACACACACCGTGCTCCCAACCCCCACTAGTTCTGCTGGTTGGGTTCACCCAGAGGTCACATGCCTCACACTCCAGGAGAAGGCCACCAGCCTGCTCCAGGCAGTTCAGAATTAAGGACATTTCTCATTCTAAGCTGGGCAAGTGACTGTGTTCTCAGTTTTTGGTATTTTCCTGAGAGCCAGTATTACTTCTTTTATGCATACATATGTTAGTACCAGGCTGCAGAACACAGGGTTACACTGGTGTGCATGTGCATGTTTGTGGGCGTGCATGTGTCACACACACACACACACACACACACACACACACGGGCATGGAGAAAAGTCCTAGCTCAGGAGAGGGTCACAGAATCCCTGAGCTGAGTAGGGGAGAGTGGCCATGTCCTTCCAGCCTCCCTCCCCTGAGGTAAGCATCCTCCTTTCAGATAATCTTCCTTTTAGATATGATGTCTGAGGTTGTTGAATTCAAGCTTCTCATCCCTAGGACACCCACATAAAACATGTGCCCACTGAGGAGCTGGGTAGATGAAGTAGTGAGTGGACAGACCATCTAGGCTGATGACGAAGGCAGGGGGCATCTGCCTCAGGAAAATGGACCTGCCCATAGAACTTGAACCAGCTATGCTGATTATCTCTCCCTCAAAGCCTTGAAATGATCAAGCACGTTGTCCTTCACTCCAAAGCCAAGGTTCAGAGGTAGGCTGGAGAGGAAACCCAGAGACCTGGAGGAACTGTGCTGGGTGGTGGCCGAGGTGGTTTGGGGCTTGCTAGGATGTATTAAACAGCATGCTAACCAAAGCCCCCTTGGGCTCTGCTTCCCAGGCTCCTCGGGGTCCCTGAACTTCCTGTTCAGCTCTCACTTCCTCCCGGTGGTTCCCAGATCCTGGAAGCAAGCCACTGGACAAACATATGGAACTAGGGTCTCTGAACTAAGCTTGTCTCAGCCTCCAAGTCCCTGTGTGCAGACACCCTCACCACCACCACCACCACCACCACCACCACCACCACCACCACCACCCCGCCCAGCTCAACACAACTGCTTTGCTATGTAGCACTTGGTTTCGATTTAGCCACAGAGCCATCAGCTGCTGATTTGGGAAGGGGATGTTCTCTTCTTTAGAGCTGTCAGTGCTCACAGCTGGCCAGGTAAGAAGCACTGGCCCTTGGGAGTGTGCTTTCCAGCTTGTGGCTCTCTACAGGATATTGAGGAAGTTTTTCCCTCTTTAAGTTTTCTGTGGGTGACATAGGTGCTGACATGTTTACAGTTGTGTCTTTTCCTGGTTTTAAGGAGACAGGAAAAAACAAACAAACAAAAAAAACTAGACCAGTGGTTCTCAACCTGAGGGTCGTGACCCCCTTGGTGAGGAAATGATCTTTTCACAGGGGTCACTTAAGATCGTTGAAAACACAGATATCTACATTATGAGTCATAACAGTAGCAAATTTGCAGTTATGAAGCAGCACTCTATGGTTGGGGGTCACCATGGCATATGGTGACCATATTAAAAGCTCAGCACATTAGGAAGGTTGAGAACCACTGCCCTAGACAGTAAATCTATCTAGATCCACACCCTGGCTTTTTGAGAACAAGCCTTGATTTCTTTGAGTTTCCTGTTCCAGCAGGGGTTGTTTAGGACCTAATGGAGATGAGGACCATTTTGATTTAGGAATAGGCCCGGAAACTGCCTCTCCAAACAGTAGAATGTATAGCTCTGCTCAGTGGGACACAGCGCTACTGGGACCATGGGAGGCGAGGGACGCTAGGACAGCCTCCCTTCCAGATCATACGCCTCACCCATTCCCCGGGGCTGACAGAGAGGGGCTTACTCACTTGTACAGAGTATCCACAGCACAGATCCCACCTTCCCCAACATGGTCTTGCTCCTTTTCCGACACAAACCCAGTCTGGAACTGGCAGGGCACTGGACAGGTCTGGGCTGTCTGGCTAAAGCTACGGCCTCTGGCCTGGTTCAGCCTGTAGTCCCTGTGACTCTCCTCCTGTTCACCGCTGCCAGACTGGGCCCACATGCCCCACCCAGTCAACGGACAGGCAGGTGAGCTCACCTATGGGGTGAGGCGCCTGCTGCACCTACTCTAGGAAAGGCCCCAACAAGAGTCTTCCTTCCTGGAGCCAGACATCTTCCTGCCTTCTCCCTCTTTAGCAGGAGTGCAAAGTCCTGTACTTCTCAGAAGGTGTGGACCTCTCGTAACCGATGGGGTGTTATTGCCTTGTAATAAAAAGGGAGCAATCTCAGAAGTAAAAGCTAGTAAAAGCAGGGTGTTGTCCACATTTGCCGAGGCACGTTAAGACCCAGTGTCGCCTTTTTCTTTGCCTTTCCTCTCTTCTCTGACACCCACACTGGGACATGTGGTGGTGGAGGACACAGGAAGTCCCTGCGTTCAGAGTCGGTACTCTGCCTGGGAAAATAGCAAATACACGAGAAACCGAGACGATGGTATGTCTTAGCTCTCCTGCCTCCATTTTTAACACCAAAGTCTTGTATCCTGGAAACCCTGAAATCTCACAGTCCCAAAACAATTAAGATGTGTGTTACCTTCAGATGTAAGTCATGAACCGTAGCACCTTTTATCCCAGCACTCAGGAGGCAGGGGAAGGCAGATCTCTGTAAGTTTGAGGTCAGCCTGGTCTGCAGAGTGAGTTCCAGGACAGCCAAGGATACCTATAGGGCATAGGTCTCCAGGACACTATCTGATCAGGCTCTGCCACAGATACTTTATACATAATAGAATATGTATGAATGATATTATGTCATTTAAATATTTTTTATTTAATAAAATACCCTAGAGTTTTTTTTTTTTTACATCCATACATACAGCACTACTGGGTTCCATTTAATGGGTAATAAATAATGCCACACTGGGTGTTAGCTTTTCCAAGTTTGTTCATATTTCTACAAAGTTATTGGTCTTGGGCTTCCTGGTCTCTAGACGGTCTTTGTGTTCTTGCGAGACTCACTTTTGATGAAGTGATTACTACAGATGCTTTCCCAGGCGTTGTCTTGTACTAGGAATTCCCTGTGTAAATTACTTGCAACGTTCTTTTCTGGCTACCAAGTTTAGTTGGCTTACAACGTTATCGCTTTCCGTTTATTACACTTTGCTTACTCATGGTATAGCGTTCTCTTGCCATATATGATGATTTTCCAGTTCCGACATTTCCGGACACCGTTGTCAGATTATTTTTCTCAAGACAGATCCTCTGATGCTGGGTCTCTCTTCTGGCCCTATTGCTGGCTCTGCAGACCTTAAGAAACGAACAAACATCCATCTGCAATTTAAATTGTCCTTTAAGGTGTGGTAGGATTCATTCTCCAATGTCCCCTCCCCTTTAAGCGTTATCTTCTGGAGTCTGTAACCTCTGCTCTGACTGTTCTTAGACACCTAGCTGCGGCTCATTCTTTCCTGGCGCAGAACTGTGCCCTGCGGTCTCTGCAGCCCCTCCCCACTATTATACCAGTTATATTTCATCCAACTTATCCTTTAAAGGCCTGCTCCTACATCATTTCTCCCATAAAGCCTTCCCTGGCTTCGCAGCTCAGAACTTGCTCCTTCTGTGATTCAGGGCAGCACTCTGAGTCTCTTCTAGGGTAAGAATGCTACTCTTACACTTCAGCTATATTTAGTCTCTGTCTCATGCCTCCTAATAAACTGTGAGCTCATCCATTCATTCAGCCAACCTCTGATGCTACTACTCTGGGCACGGTTCCATCTAGCTAGGAAGTCAGGATACTTTGGGCTAGGAGACTGACTACCTTAGTCAGGTACAGTGCCTGGTTGCAGAGGGGGTAACTAGTAAATATTTACAAGCCTGGAGGCAGATGGGAAGATGTATGGTGAGGGAGGGATCACAGTGTGGAGAGGGTGTACGGGAAGGCACCGGAAACATGCAGGCAGGTAAACAGAAGGATACACAAATTCTCGGGACATCGAGGATGAGAGGGTGTACTGTGGATAACTGGGGACTGCAGGGACGGTGGCAGAATGTCATACGTTCCACCATAGGGCGGGTCATGGGTTCTTTGAAGTTTATCAAGTCTTCCAAATTTTTATGTTACCCCTAGTTGCAACTGGCCATTGCCAGGGCCATGAATGGTGAGGCAGAGAGATGAAGGGGAAGTACAACTCGCCCACTGTATGGTCCTCAGACATTAAAAATGTCAGGCTGGTCGAAAGCCATGCCTTCTCTTTAATCAAAACATGGTGCTCTCCTCACACCTGGCGGAGGGCCAGCCTGTTTTGTATAATTGGTATTTTCCTTTCCTAGGCTTCTCCAAGACACTATGAGGCAAAGTTCAGTTTGTTTGTTACAAATGTGCTGATTTGGATTATTTTCAAAAAGTGCTTTGAACAGGCAGCCTCCTGCTGGAGGAGATGACTTTCTATAGGTCCTTCCATCCACAGTGTGAGACTATTCTAAACCCACTGCTAACCACCAGTGTCTGAGAACCAGCCAGAAGGGAAAGGGTTAAGTGAAGCCTGCATTCCTTCCTCCCAGAGAGCTGCCATCCTATGGGGCCAGAGGCTAAATTTAGAGACTGGCTAAGGTTTCTTGTTAACAGCTGTCCCTCAGAGAAGAAGCACACCAGAAAGGAGAAAGCTTGGTCCCTCTCTAGCCAGAACTTCTGGTCATTTTCTTGGGATCCGTGGCCCTTAGTGAGGACACACCAGCTCAAGGTGAGTGTTCATCCTCTCAAGTCTTCTGTGGTGAGCTGGGACTTAGACTCAAGTGGGTGGCCGTCTGCCCTGAGTGTCAGGCCACAGCCATAGCCAGGACTAGCTATCAGAGACTTCTTGTGACTTAATAGGCTGTGGGGTGGCTCCTCAGCCCAAGGCCTTGATTGACACAGAGTCAATACATATCACTGAAGGGGGCCTGTTATCCCTTCCAGTAAGATAAAAGGTGTGTACATTAATGCAGTTGGAAGGGGGCCTTCAAATATCCTTTTTAGTCTGGGGAATCCACCACCTTTCACAAACCTCCAGCACTACAGTTAAGATAAACCTTTGCTTTCCCTCTCTGCTTCCCTGCTACTCTCCATGAAAGGAGTCAAGATGGCACTTCTTACCTATTGTGCCACCTCATGGTGTCCTGCTAATGACAGCTGGGCTCCATCTTACTGGTTTCCCTTTGGGTCCTTTACCCACTCGGATATTCCATGCTGTAACCTCCTCATCCTCCGTCCACCAAGGTGACATTGGTGACACGTCCCCCTCCCCCTTACAAAGCCTATGGAACCCAATTCCTTAAACAACCTTTTCCTGCCAGGCAGACAGAGGCTGACAGGCTGTCATGGCTACCGGTGGTGACACAGAGGAGGAGCAGGTAGTTCCGAACGAGGAGGATGAAGCTGACGTGAGAACCGTTCAGGCCCGCTACCTCCGGAGTCCCTCCCCAAGCCAGTAAGTGGGTCACTGTGAGTGTTCTACATGCCAATCAGCATGATCCTGGGCTCTACTCTCCATGATGGCGGACTGAGGCGTGGTGCTGAGAGATGGACGTTGGTGTCTCTAGAATGTGTGGTGCTGTGGGCTGGTGGGGTGGGGGAGGGGTGACAAGCACACAGGGGAAGACCAAAGGCTTCTGGGAGGTGCTGCTGCTGGCCTGAACCTGGAAGTAGGAATGAATCTACCTACAGGGTGTGCTTGATTCACCAGGACCAGGGCTGGATAAGAGGTTGAGATGCCAGAAAGTGTAAAATGAGAGGAAGAAGGAATGAGGACCAGGGGCCATGCCCTGCTACTAAAATTATTTTGCATCCACAATGGAGGTATTGATTTCCAAGGGATAGAAACACTCCCAGGAGGAAGGGGCAGGATGCCAATGGGAGAAAAAGAACACATCTTCCAGAAGAGTCCTCTGTACTCTGTGACAAGTCATTTCTGTTCCATTAGGGGCACTGATGATTTAGGATGATGTAGGTTGTCAAATTTGAGTGAATTTTTAAGAAGATACACAGGACTAAAGAAATGCTATTGGGCTGTAGATATGATTCACGGGGTATAGGCGCTTGCGGCCAAGACAGGCAGCCTGAGTTTGATCCCCATAGTCCACACAGCAGAAAGACAGAACTGACTCCTGCAAGTTGTCCTCTAACCTCTGCTTATAATCTGTAGTGTATGTACCCTTCTTTCACCACACAGAAATAAACACATGCAATTTTAATAATCAAAGATAAAGAACCTGAGTATGGTATCACATGTCTTTTATGCCAGCACTTGGGAGGCAGAGGGAGTTGAGTCTCTGAGTTCGAGGCTGGCCTGATTTCAGGATGGCCAGGGATACACAGAGAAGAGATGTCTCATAAGAAGAAGAAATAAGAAAAAAGAAATGCCTGCGAAAATGATAGCATCTATGCCCGTTTTCTTCTGCCATGACTGAGAATGGAGACTTGCTTCTGTTCTATGATAGCTCTGTCACCAAATGGTGTGAAGAATCACTAAGGTCTTGAGCCCGTGCCTGTCTCCCTATCAATCAAAAGAGAAGCTCAACTGAGGTATCTCAGAGAACTCTCACTTTTCTCCCCCATTTCTCACCTGACAGGGGACTGAACTAGGGCCTTAGAACATCCTAGTCTTCCCTTTACACTGAGCTGCAACCCTCCCTCCCCTCCCAGAACCTTGACTTCTAGGCATCTATGGTTCCTCTTGGCCCCAGTGTTCTTGAGTTCTCCTGGAGTCTCCCTCACTGGCTTCTGCTTCTCAGTGTTCAAAGATCTCTGGGGAAGGAAGACAGCTCATCAAAATAAGCTATGTGCTTTGGGGTGTTCTAAGCCCCCATGAACTCATCACCCATTCATCAGGCACTCAGCCCAGATGGAACTTAGAGATTTCACCTTTAAAGTTCAGCATTGTGTGATAGGCCTAGAAAAGCTATCAGAGTTAGAGATTTAAGATGTCGTACTCTTCCACACTTCCTGTCTTAGTAAGGGTCCTACTGCTTTGAAGAGACACCATGGCCACGGCAGCTCTTATCAAGGAAGCATTTAACTGGGGGCTTGCTTACCGGCTCAAGATAGTAACCTGTAAGTATCAAGATAAAAAGGAGTAAAACAGAAGCTGTTCCCTGGGTGGAGTTTCCCCCCAAAAAAGCCACTTCCCTTGTGTTCATAGTACATCAGAGGGAACTCAGCAAGGTCCTACTTCCTTAAAAATGATGATAGGTCTCAGGTTCCTGGGTCCAGGGAGAAGGGGTAGTGAGTTTGTCAATACACAGCAGTCTTGGCCACAGCGTACTCCCCCAAGGAGTCTGCCCACATCAACCTTTGTGCCCACACAGAACACGTTTATTCTCAGGCCTGAATGCAGCTGCTCATGGTCTCACCAGGATGATGGGTAGGAAAGTTTCCATCCTACGAAACGAGAGGAAGATGTAGCTATCCCGTTAGTGGTGAACACAGCTACTCCAGAACAGAGGAATTCTAGTCTAACCAGGGCAAGTCTCTTACCTGCCACTCCCCTTGGTCTCTAGATCTGTGGAGGCCTGTGTTCATTGTCTTCTACTGCCACAGAGAAAGTGGGACTTCCCTGAAGGCTGAATGGCTTCTGCAGGTTGTATCTTGATTGGAGCACATATCACCCCAAAGTTCATAGTTTCTTTGAAAATAGAATCCCTTCAAAAACTCAGTAGACTGCGACCTGTGTATGCTGGACAGCCAGCCCTGTGTCAGCCCTCCTTCCTAAAGATTGTTATCTGAATGACTGCCTGAAACTACACATTAAAGCAGGAGGTCTAGAACATGTTGTAGTTTGCAGTGTAACTGCTGGAAACGGCTGCAAAAGAATCTGTAACTAGTGTATCGCTAACAAGGGAAAGATGCAAGCGTCAAATATAATCATCGGCAGAGAGAAAGCAAAAGAAGAAAGAAAGAACCAAAAAATACAGACAAGGTACAACAAATAAGAAGGAAAAGTAAAATGTGGGTTTGAGTATATACATAACTGCATTAAATTTGAATAGATCAAATATTCCAATTAGAGAAGCAAAATTATCAGACTCTCTTATAAAAAGCCAGCATGCTGTTTGTAACATAAGGATATACAAAGACTAACAAGAGAAAATTGTATTTTACTGACTGTTCAGAAATCAGTGACATAAACCGACAGTGAATTATGTTGATAATTAGGCACCTGGAAAGGCACAATGGGAGGAGTGTGCCTTTGGCTAGCAGTGTCTGAAGTCTGAGCTGGAAGAGGTAGAAGATTAGGGATGACTTTAAGGCTAAAGGAACCTCAGCAGCTGGGGCTGGGTGTCAGGAATAGATCTCATGATTGTCAGTTTATATTGTGACTAACTGGACAGTTGTTCAGAACTTCTAAGATTATCTTTCTATGCAATTTTTCATGTGGGCCACTTTAGAATTTAACAGAGCTGCTAAATTCCAAAAATTGTGTTTTTTTTTAAAAAAAGAAAAGATGAAATGTACTAGTTTCTTTATACCTAGACTATAGTGGTATACTTTGCACACAAGACAGACAGACAGACACACACACACACACACACAGAGAGAGAGAGAGAGAGAGAGAGAGAGAGAGAGAGAGAGAGATTCAAAGGGGGAAACAATATAGACTCAACAATTAAATCAAAAGAGTTTCAAGGTTGCATTATAAAGAGAAAAAATAGGATAGGAAATATTGCAGTCACCACTGGATGATAAACAGAAGCTGCCACAAATGTAGACACAAACAGAAAAAACACCAGTGAAGCCCATTGATATTAGACAAGTCAGAGTTTACGATAAGCATGCTAAAAAAAAAAAAAAAAAAAAGGAAGAAATTTCATAGTGATTGAAGGTTCAATTCACCAAGCAAACAGTCATTTTAAATATATGGCCTAACAAGATAGCCTTGAAATACATAAAGTAAAACCACTAAACAAAAACCCAGGGAGGAAGGATGGCTCTGCAGTTAAAAGCATTTGAGTATTTTCCCAAAGGACTAGGATTCAATTTCCAGCATCCACATAGCTTCTCACCAAGGTCTGTAACTCCAGTCCTGGATGACACAACGCCTTCTTCTGGCCTCTGTGGGCACTATATATATCTGTGGGCACATACACTCATATACATAAAATAAATTAATTAATTTTAAAAACTGACAGAAGTGAAAAAATTAAACTCCAAATTTTTAACAAAATGTTTTCAAAACCTAGCTTATTAGATGATAGAATAAGATAAACAAATCTTGAAGAATATAGAAAATTCAAACAAAATTAACCTAATTGGCATTTATAGAATGTGTGGTGTGTGTGTGTGTGTGTGTGTGTGTGTGTGTGTCTAATCACTTCAAAATATTCATTTTTATCATGGACATATAGAATATTTACTAAAATAAGTCAGTGGGCTCCGCATATACCAGCAAATTTTTCTGACCATAGTAAACTGTAGTTAAAAAAAAAACAGAATTAAATTAAACCACAATTTACCACTAACTACACTTATGCTCACCAGAATATCTAAAATAAAAGTCTCTAGTGACAATGTTAAGGAAGGTGTGAATGAAGCAGAACTCTCCTGCCTTGCTGGTGAGAGTGTGAACTGACAGAATCAGTCATCAGAGCTTCTACACTCTATTTACAAAAGTTAAATGCACTGGCTCTCCTCTAACACAGCAGGCTCACTCTTGCTACATCCAAATAAAACTGAGTAAAATGTGCACCAGGAAATATATACTCAAACACGACGAGCCGTCCAGTTAACACTGGGCCGGAAAAATGACGTTGGATGTATATAAATGTTGCCCTGGAGAACATGTTTTATTAACTGTCCCCTGATGTGGTTCTCATGCTTACACAGCAGGCACCCCACTTACTGAGAAGACAACTCCCTGACTAGGAGAAAACATCTGCAAACTACACATCTGACAAAGTATTTCATGTAGAATATAGCTATTCAAACCCTCAAAATTCCGTGAATGTATTACAGCTCTCAAAATTCAACTTAAAAATGGACAAAAGATTTGAAAATGTGCTTTGCCAAACATGATGTACGTACCATCCATAAGCATGTGAAATTATGCTCAAAATTCCTTAGTCATTGGGAGAATTGGAACTAAGCCCATAATGAGTTACCATTACATACCTACTGGAATATCTGAAATGAAAAAACAAACAAACAAAACAAACAGAAACGTAACTGTCCAAGCTGTTCATGAAGACGCAGCAACAGGAACGATCTTAGGCTGGAAATACAGAGTACAGCCCTTTCACAAACTGTCATTTGTTACAAAATTGCACGTATACTTACTCCTATCCCTGTATTGTCCAGCCATTCCAGATACAAACTGAGAAAGGATGGCTGAGTTTCATGTAAGGAATTGTACACTGATGGTGGTGGCAGTTTTTCCCAAGAACCCAGAAGTTAGAAATAGTCCAAATGTCTATCAACAAATGAGTGAATAGTCAC